CGCTGTCTTGGGCGGGGCGCGGCGGGCGCTAGATCACGCCACACCAGCAGGCCTCGCCCGCGCGCCGCGCCTGCATCAGCCCATGTCCGTGTGACGTGGCCGCGCCGAGCCGCGGCGCATATCGCCCAGGCCCGGTCGGGCCGACCCGGCCAGGCTGGCCACTCGGCGGCCCGAGCAGCGCGCGCAGTGCCGCCAACCGCACACAGAAAACCAATTACAAAACGACGAGGCGAATCGGTCGCGCGGCTTCGAGGGAATTCCCCGCGGCGACACGATACAGTATGGTTGGTGGACGCGCGGCGCGCGGCTTATCAGGGCGCTGGCCGCGTCGCGTCACGCCGCCGCGAGAGCCACGTCGCGGGGCCGCTGGCCTGCCGCGCGGCTGCGGGGCCCGCCCGCCGGGCTGCACACACACAAGTTGGCACGCCTGCAGGCCCGGCCAAGCAGGCAGGCAGGCCAGCGGTGAAGCGCCAACGTTTTATTTTTGGGCGGCAGCCAGCTGACGAGGCGCGGCCCGCGGCGTGGCGGGGCGTGGCGGGCGGCGAGCGGTGCGCGCGGGCACATAGCGGGGAGTTGTAGTCCGCGACTGCACGCCACTCGAGGCAGACCAGGAGGAGGACCAGAGGGGAACCGGAGGCGCGCGAGAGTCGAGCGAGTGCGACACTGGGCGAGCAGGGCGGCAGGTTAGTTGAGTAGAATGGGTTAGGTCCGTTGTGTGGTTGCGTCACCGACACGCAGCGCGGCGGCAGGAAGAGGACGCGACGTCACCGCCGAGAGCTGCCACCAACGGGCTCGCCGCGGAGCGGCGCGGCAGGGCTTCATGGGGCTCAGTTAGCTCGACGTCGCCGTCGTCGCCGCATTGCCTTTCCCTCTCTCTCTCTTTCTCTCTCGACGCGACGTGACCGTCGCCGGCCCGCAGGCACATACTAGGCTCGCGGCGAGAAAGTACCAAAGTGTGAGTCCCCCTAGTGTGCGTGTGTGAGAGTGAGTGAGTGAGTGCGCGGGCGCGGCAAGTCCTTTTGCCAGGTAGAAGCCAGTCAGCGCCAGGCCAGCCAGGCCGCCGCACCGACCTTGGGCCCGCCAGTGTCAAGTACTGGCAGGTAGAGCAGCAGAGCACCTGCGCGCCAGCCTTGACGGGAATAGAAGACGGCGTATAGTGATATAGTGATACTACGGCGGCGAATCGAGAGCTGCTGACAGTGAGTGAATGGGCGAGAGCGCGAGTGTTTACGTGCGCACATACACGTAAGCACGTATGTGTGTGCCTCTTGTTGTTCGGAACTAAGTGTAGAGATGGTCTAGACTGTTTAGACACGGGCGTTCATGATTGGTTCAATGTAACCCGCGCTCTCCTCCACTCGAGAACCGGTCGCGTCCAGATTTCGAAGGTGACTTCGTACTATATTTGCAAAGGTGCGACGCGGTGACAACCGGTTATTTTACGCCGTAAATTCTGTAATTGCAATTTTTCAAGATGACAGTAGAAAGGCTCTTTGGCAGCGACCAAGCACGCACGTGGCACAGAAATAATGAAGGGTAAGGTCGCCAAGGGCCGCCGCGGCGCCGAGCAGGCGAGTTGTAAAAGAAAGCTGCTCAAGTCGGGTTTCACTTGGTAGGCTTGCTTGCTGTACCTTGGCAGTCAGCTGATCCAACCCCAGTACAGTATATCTCTCGACTTGCCGGTTGACGACGCGAGACCACGACAAGCAGGTGTCAAACTGAAGGAGGGGGGTGGGGACGGAAGGAGAGGGGGGCAGCTCACGCGATCTCGTGAGAATTCACGAGTATGCGCGCGGCCAGCCTTGTCTGCATGCGTGTGTCACTCGGCCACCGCTCTGCTGACGTCCCCTTTGAGCGACGTGACGAAAGTAAAGTCCGCGGGGCATAAATTTGTTTCTCTGTATTTGGCCACGCCGGCGCAGACACGCTGGCAGTGACCGCGCGGGGCCACGCCTCCCCACAGACACGCCACCATGTGACACTGTCACCCCACCCGATAACCGCCGGGTTTAAGGCGCCGGCCTGCGCTCGGCTCTATTAAAATTATTGCCGCTCTATCTAATCACAGGAAGAGTGTACACACTGCTATGGCAGGTGACACACTTTCAATTTTTTCCCAGATGCCCCCTCTCGTCCCTCCTCCCCTCCCTACTGCAGCTTAAACTTCATGAATCAACAGGTGCCAATGAGTATGTGTTTTTTTCCCTGTGTGTTGCAGATTTAGTTTCACTGCGCCGAGCAGGTGACGACACACCACGCAAGCATACACACTAGACACATAAGATGTCGCAGAGGAAGAGAACACGGGCAGAGGCGGACGTCAAGGCGACAAGCACCGTACACAGCAACGGAAAGTCACAGGCAGCGCCGCCCACCCTCGCATTGGTAAGATGTATTTGCTTTAGCTCACTTTATCTGAGCCAGCGGTCGTGTATCAGGCCGCGGAAAAAACCAAAGAAAAGAAATTACATTATAGTGGCGACAAGTCTTCCTCTTTTTTCCCCGGAATGCTATTGACGTATACACTGCACGATATGGTGTTGTGGTGGATTTTTATTTTCAATTCTCTGAAGATACGTAACCAACCAGTACTCACGTTTCATTGCAGGCCGCTTGTACAGTACCGCCGTTCAGCGACGAGCCAGAGGCCATCCTAAGGCGAGAGCATGTCGACTATACCAGAAAAATTTCACTCCGCGAAGCCAAGGCGGGTCTTGGTAAGTTACCAACTATTGTAAGAAGTTTACTTTGAATATTTTCTCTGTCATTTTGGAACGTTGTGAGTTAGACCGAGACATATTTTTTTCTAGCCCCCCGTCCGGTCAGGGTGTTCTCTGACGGCATCTACGACCTATTTCACCAGGGTCACTCCCGCCAGCTAATGCAGGCCAAGAACCTCTTCCCTAACGTGTACCTCATCGTCGGAGGTAAGACAGTGTGTGTTTTCTTTGTCTTTTCTTTTTAAAGGCACGCAAAAAATTAAAATGTTCGCCCTCTGCCAGTGAGCGGAGACAAACAGACGCACAAGAAGAAGGGCCGTACCGTGATGACCGAGGACGAGCGCTACGAGGCCGTGCGGCACTGCCGGTACGTGGACGAGGTGGTCAAGGACCCGCCCTGGGTGCTCACCGACGAGTTCCTCGAGATGCACAAGATCGACTTCGTCGCCCACGACGACATCCCCTACCCCACCCCCGACGGCACGGACCTGTACCAAAAGCTCAAGGACCGAGGCATGTTCGCGGCCACTGAGCGCACCGAGGGCGTGTCCACATCCGACATCGTTGCCAGGATCGTCCGCGACTACGACATGTACGTGCGCAGGAACCTCGCGCGAGGCTACAGCGCCAAGGAACTCAACCTATCGTTCATGAGGGTGAGCATACAGCGCCAAGGGCGTGCAAGGGGGACCGCAATTTCGATGTCAAAACTACCGATTCTGTTTGTTGGATGTCGTCACGACAGGCATTAACGCACGGAATAATTAAATTTAATGTTTCTACGCCCACAGGAAAAGAGACTGCGACTGGCAAATAAAATGGACGAGCTAAAAACCAAGGGAAAGCGAGTCATGGAAAACATTGGTGAGAAACGAACCGATATTATCCAAAAGTGGGAGGAAAAATCAAGAGATATTATTGACACATTCCTGCACTTGTTTGGAGGGGAAGGCAGATTAGTAAGTAACCGGTCGGGGTATAGATGGGGTTTGTTTTCATACATTTCCTGGCGCTCTACGCGTTTCCCCGCCCTTCCTAAAGCTGCATGGAATCACCCCCGCTGCCTCAGCATGTTCGAGGCTTCCCTTTACAGAGTAGCTAGCTAGTCCTCATTTAGGCCCCAGCCTCTGCACCTCCATCACATATGCAGCACAACCCCTACCTGCACTGGGAAACCTTCTCAACCTAGCGCGCCTTGAGCTAAAACTAATTCTTTTGCCCCCAACAGTCTCACATCTGGAACGAAGGCAAAGGCCGGATAATGCAAGCCTTGTCCCCGCCGTCCAGCCCCGGCCGCCTGCGATACGACACCAGTGAGGACGACGAGGACACCTCTTCCAACGGGTGAGTGACCTATGCCCTGCTCCAGACGGCTCCAGACCGCGCTCCAGATGACTGTACTGTATACTCATCTCCCGTCTCTCTCGCTCTACAGCAGCTCGTCGTCGGCGCCCCCGCGCAAGACCATGCGGCGGGAGGCGGCCGCCAGTCGGGCCGCGGCCTTTCACCTGGACGACTTCTCGGACGAAGAGAAAGACTGATTGTTAAAATAATTATACTAATACAATTATTCGCTCATAATTTTGTGATATTATAACCACTGATTTGTTTTTAAGTACACTTTGTGAATAAATTTGTCGCCTCATTTCACAATCTTTCTCAAACCCCCTCTGTCGTCGCTTTGATCAAAGAATTATTGATGCGATGTAAAATATCGCACCAAAGCGCCTCGCCGCACGCCTCGCTGTGATTTTCGAAAAAGGGAGAAAAATCGTACACATGACTCCAAAAAAATAGTATACAGAGGGCGTGCGCATCTCTTTGACAACAAAGCTAGGCCCGGGCAGGCAGGCGGGCGGGACGCCTCGGCGATCACATGAGCCCGCTGGTATATCAAGCAGAAGAGCGGGCTGAACAAGAGCAGTGTGGGTGGCTATGGCACAAACCTTACCTAACGCGGCTTCATGGAATACCTGGCGCCGGCGCCTGGTCAGTAATGCGAGATGACGCGAAGCGATAGCGCCAAAGGCCCACCGATAACGAGCGTAGCGTGCGCCGCCGGGGCGCCCGCCGCCCCCACCGCGTACAACCCAAGGCTCGCCACCCCTCAACCTGCTGCCAACATTGAAAGGCTTTCTTTCCAGGCGCTTTATTCCGGTTCGACGGGACACGTGGTCGGCCGGTCGGCGGCCAGCTGATAATTGTTTTTACTTTATCTCCCGCGCACAGCTCATTGTCAGCTGTTGATGACGCAAGTGGGCGGCCCCGTCTCTTATTTCCTTTTTCCTATCGGTGCAAAACACGCCCTCGAGTCGAAATTTTCAACATGATAATGCTCCGAACTTTGGGGCAGGCCTCCCGAAAATTTAAGTTCGAACGACTTTGCTGTCTATTTTGCAGGGTAGGAAGATGAACGTTTTGGCCTGCTACCCTCCTTTCTTTATCCAGGGCAATAGGCTTTGGCGGCGGCCATTACCGGCACGTGAGGCCGCATTTAGGCACGCCAAGGCCCGCCGCGCCCCGCCTCCACTTAGGCCCTTTGGCGGGCAGAGCGGCCCTTCCGTGATCACCCCCCGCGGAGAAGGGGGAGATGGGCGCGGCGGCGGCGCGAAGAGAGAGAGAGGCGTTCCCGGCCGCGCCGTCCCCCCTGGGAGCGCCCACGCCCGCCTCCGGCCGGGAGGGAATGCCAGATCACACGGCAACAGGGGGGGATCCTTTGAGCCTAGCCGCCACACCACGCTGAGCCCTCCCAGTGACACCCTGGTGGTGACGCCCACCTCACCTCACACCTCCACGGGGGCTTCCATCCACCTACAGCCCGACACCGCCTCAGCAGGGGTGGGTGAGCAGCGGCGAGCAGGCCGCCGCCCCCTCCCCACCGCCAGCGCCAGCCAAGCACACCACCGCCCCGCCCCGCCGTCAGCGGGGTCGCCGCCGTGGTGATCCCCGTCGGTGACCCCGTCGGGCCCCGGCCCATTCATTCGACCGGCCCCATGATTCACCCCGCGGCCCCCACGGTGATAACGAAGCGGAGGACCCCGATAGAAACAAGGAGGGGGGTAGACGGTAGTCGGGCAGATATGTAGACTGATGGATAGATGCACAGACTGGGCCGCGGCCGCGGCCGCGGGTCGAAGTGCGACCGCCCACCCAGCAGACGGGCCGGGCGCCAAGGTCCACCTCGAGTCCACCTCGCGTCGCGGGTCCACCGGGCAGAGGGCCTGCCCTGTCACACCACGGCTGCGACCACGCCGTTTCCGCTGAACACTCTCTTTGCGTACCTGGCGACACCGCGGCCCCCCCTCAGCTCACTTCGCGGCCGCTGGAACCGCGACCACGCCGACCACGCCGCCGCGATCGCCCCCTGCGTGCGTCCGGCTATCGACGCCGACCGCGACCTCGACGACCAGCTGGGGAGGGTTCTTTAATCTCCCCCCCCCCCTCCCCGCGCTCTCTCTCTCTCCTACGCAAATATTTGCCTCCACCTGTTTAAGTGGCGTGGCCTGGAACAGTGCGTCACTGACGTCATTTCCCTCCGACAAAGTGTGTGGGAGACTGCTATACTGTGAGGAAAGCAGCGCAACGCGCTATCAAAGCCAGCCGCCCCCGCCCGGCGACAGACGAGACGAGGCAGGAAGATGACGGGAGGCATAAGATAGCGTGAGAGCGAGAGAGAGAGAGAGAGAGAGAGAGAGAGAGAGAGAGA